AGTAGTAGTAGTAGTAGTAGTAGTAGTAGTAGTAGTAGTAGTAGTAGTAGTAGTAGTAGTAGTAGTAGTAGTAGTAGTAGTAGTAGTAGTAGTAGTAGTAGTAGTAGTAGTAGTAGTAGTAGTAGTAGTAGTAGTAGTAGTAGTAGTAGTAGTAGTAGTAGTAGTAGTAGTAGTAGTAGTAGTAGTAGTAGTAGTAGTAGTAGTAGTAATAATAATGGTAGTGATAGCTGCGCCTCAGCGAGCCCCCATGCGTGTTTCTACAGTGGGGCCTCGTTTTGGCCAGAGGCATTCCCCAGCACATCCCCAACAATAGCTCGTGTCCCTTCAGGCGGGACACGAACACCAGGTCAGTGTTTTCCAAATTTCTGTGTGCCTCTGGGCCTCTTCAAGTCGGCTGCGCTTGTCGGACCTTGTGTGCTGCGCTGCTCTGCTCCAACCGTTCCCCCATGCTCTCCCCCCCCCCTTGCTCTCCTTCTTCTGCTCGCCTCCCCACCCTTCGCGGAGGCGTCCAGCCGAAGCTCCGCGGCGGTGCGGGGGCGGCGCGGGGGCGGCGAGGGGGGCGGCGCGCGCGCCTGGCGTTCGAACAAAAAGAAAAACCTCGGCCGCCTTAGGCGGAAACCTTCGCCGGCTCGCACTCGCCAGCCGGAGGCACGGCCTCGCCCATTGCGGCGGGCGCGGGAACCAGAACGCCTCGCGCCGCGCATCAATCAAAGCGGATCGTGTTTGCAACTTTCGGCCCTCAGAGGACCCGTGCTGGGCCCCAGGTCCTCCAAACAACTAAGTGCCCAGCGCGAAGGTGGTCCCATGGAAGTGGTCTAGACCTCAAGGCGTCCAAGTTGCGGCAAAAATCATGACGTCAGAGGTATGGTGACGGCGACAAAAGGCGACATTGACGCCGATTGTAATGCAATGAAGCAGCGGGACGGTCCAGGGCCAGGCCTTGACGACGACCTTGACAACAACGACGAGCACGACGGTGACGCCGACGACGACGGCCTCGGCGGAGGCGATGACGACGACGAGGGCCATCTCGGGCGCGTTCTCTGCGGAGGGAGGATGAAGCATGGATGGATGGAACCGCTGCGCATGCAGGGGGGGGGGCGGGGGCATATGCGGCGTGCGTCTCCCAGACGGCTGCCCATCTGTGGGATCAGTGGAAATGGTTGATTGGGGAGGGGCTGATTATCTAGTTTTCTCGTTCTGGCATGAGGCGGAAGTGGGATCGGCCCATGATTAGTCGATCTGATGGAAGCGTACTCCGAAATTCTTAATAAGCGTGGGGGGGGGCGTCACCCTTTGTGGGCCCCGGAAACGGCAGGGCCATTTTTTCACCGTTTCCATAAAAATGTCCCTTGAAAATGTAAACGGCAAAAAACGGCGACCAGAAACGGCAAAAAAACGGCTCCAAAATTGGAACTGGAGCCAGAACCGGTCAAAAACGGCGACGGAACTGGTAAACAAACGGCGTCAGAACCGGCAAAAAAACGGCAAAACGGAACCGGTAAAAAAACTGCCCTGTCGTTGCCAGGGCCCACTAAGGCGTCACCCCCGCCGACAGCCCCACATCGACCTCCGTCGCGGGCAGCCACCGCGCGCCGAAGGCGCTCCGACCCCCGTCGCGGCGCGATGACGAGGCGAGGTTGACCCCCATCGAGGGGGCACCCCACACGCTTATTAAGAAACCCAGAGTACTTTAAAGTTCCCCAAACAGGGCTTGCACTGAAGGATTCTTCACTCAGACCCTTCAGGACTTGGATGGGCCAGACGGGGATTCGCCTGGTCCCCAAACTGATGATGATGAGGATGATGCTGTGGCTGATGATGATGATGCTGCTGCTGATGATGAGGATGATGCTGCTGCTGCTGATGATGTTGATGCTGACGATGACGATGACGATGACGATGATGATGATGATGATGATGATGATGATGATGATGATGATGATGATGATGATGATGATGGTGATGGTGATGGTGATGGCGATGGTGATGATGATGATGATGATGGTGATGATGATGATGATGATGATGATGATGATGATGATGATGATGATGGTGGTGATGATGATGATGATGAGGATAATGTTGGTTCAGGGATGCTTCACTCAGACCCTTCAGGACTTGGGGATGGGCCAGGCGGGGATTCCTCTGGTGCCCGCGCGTGGGCGCCCCGTGGGCGCCTCGAGCGTCGGGTGGGTCAGCCGAGGTTCCGCCTGGAGTTAGGTCGGGCATGTCCTCCTACAGGCGGATTTGGGGCAAAACACAGAAACTAGCCAATACTACTCAACAATAGTCCAAAACTCGTCCCCAGACATTTTTTTGGTAAACTACTGTTGGATATTCCCCCCTGTGCAAGGACAAGCCAGACTCAAGCCTGGTGCCTGCCCGTGGGCGCCTCGAGCGCTGCGTGGGCGTGCCGAGGCCGCGCCTGGTGCTCGCCCGTGGGCGCCTCGAGCGCTGCGTGGACGTGCCGAGGCTTCGCCTGGTGTCCGCCGTGACGGACCCTCTGGAGAACCTGCAGGGCCCCGTTTGACCGGGTCCTGACCGCCTTCCATGGCTGACGCTTGGCGCCCGTGGGCCCCCTCGTGCTGGGTGGGTGTGCCGAGGCCTCGCCTGGTGTCCGCCCGCGGGCGCCCCCGTGCGCGCCTCGTGCGTTGGGTGAGCGTGCCGAGGCTTCGCCTGGTGCCCTCGCGTGGGCGCCTCGGGGGCGCCTCGTGCGCTGGGTGGGTCGGCCGAAGAGCCTCGTGGGCGCCTCGTGCGTCGGGTGGGTCGGCCGAAGCTTCGCCTGCCGTGAGCACCTCGTGAGCTGGGCGGCCGCACAGCTTGCATCACACCCGTTTCGGCACCATAGCCTGTACCACACAGAATGCACTGCACAGCCTGCACCACAACAACTGACACCACACAGCCACGTGTTGTGCCGCACAACATGAATCACATAGCCTGCACCAGATAACTAGACCACACATCGTACACCACATAGCTTTAAACGCATAGTTTACGCCACACACGTGTATACATATATGTATATATATATATGTATATATATATATATATATATATAGGTATTGCGTCACATTGCGTACACCACATAACCTGCTCCACGTAACTTACACACCCGCAATGCAATCTACATTGCTGTGTGGGTGCACGTTGTAATCAACCATATTGGAAGTGTTGGAACCTTTCAAGACGAACGTCCCACTACTGACCAACAAAGGCCTCCCAAACGGACCTCAAAGGCTCTGGGGAGGCCCTCGAGAGGCCCTAGAGAAGATCCCATATGCGTCTGTAACTCGACCTCCTTCGCGCTGTGCTACTGCGCTGGCGCGGTGGCGGGGTTTGACGCAGGCGACTGGAGAAGGAAGAACGACGGGGGAAGCTGAGAAGCATGAAGAGGAAGGATGCAGCCAGAAGAGGCGGATGAGGAGGGAATTGGGGGAGGAGGGAGGGGACGAATAGGTAAGACACGCAGCAGAAGACGAGAAGAGAGGAGAGGAGGAAGAGGATGGAACAGTCTGATGAAGATGATGATGGAGATGGGAGGGAGAACGAAGAGGAGGAAGAGGAGGAGGATGATGATGAGGAGGACAGGGAGGAAAAGGGAGGAGGAGCAGGAGGAGGATGAGGATGATGATGAGGAGGAGGAGGATGAGGATGAGGATGAGGAGGAGGATGAGGATGAGGATGAGGATGAGGAGGAGGAGGAGGAGGAGGAGGAGGAGGAGGGGGAGAAGGGGAGGAGAGGAGGAGGAGGAGGAGAGGAGGAGGAGGAGGAGGAGGAGGAGGAGAGGAGGAGGAGGAGAGGAGGGAGGGAGGAGGAGGAGGAGGAGGAGGAGGAGGAGGAGGAGGAGGAGGAGGAGGAGGAGGAGGAGGAGGAGGAGGAGGAGGAGGAGGAGGAGGAAGGAGGAGGAGGAGGAGGAGGATTGATATCATGGACGAGGAGGATCAAGATATGTGCGTAAGGATACAGGCGCTAGGAGAGGAGGGTGACGAGGAGGAGGGAGGATGCGGGGGGGAGGGAGGGAGGAGGGAGGAGGCCGCGCCTTGGCGGCGAGCTCCAGGGCCCGCGCCAGGCAAGCGAGGTCCGCCCTGACGAAGACGGCGTCGGACCTCTCCGCCAGGACACCGAAGGTGCCCATGCCGACCAGCAGCGCCACGGGAGCGCGAGCGGGGCGCGGGGGGGGAGTCTCGGCGCCGATGGTGCCGAGGCTCAGCGCCTTCGCCTCGACGGGCGGGGATCAGGGCTTGGGGCATTCTTGGGGGCTCAGTCGGGGCTTCGAGAAACCGCTGGCCGCCCCCCCCCTCCGCCTCCTGCAATGGCTGCTCCTTTTGCTCGTCCTGGCGTTGCTCTTTCTCCTTCTGCCACCGGCCTCCACGCCCTCCTCCCTTCCTCCTTCCTCCTGGCTGCCTGGTGCTTGCTTGGTCCTCCTTCCTCATCCTTTCTCCCCCCTCCATTCTGGCCCACCCCCCTTCTGCACTCCAACCCCTGCCCAGGCAATTGCATGAAGCTGGGCGAGCGGACACAATCGACTTGCCCCACGATTTACGCTTCAGGGAGACGTGCTTTCATCAAGATGCACTTGTCCTCCCGTCCCTCCACCTCGCCATCGCTCGGACGTCCATTCCCCGTGCGTTTTCGGTTTCGTGCGTGTATTTTTCGCATGATGGCCCAACATGCTCCTCGACGTTCCATCATCACGTCTTCGTAGTCCTCGTCGCCTCGTCGTCCTCGTCGTCATCGTCGCCGTCGCCGTCGTCGTCGTCCTACCTCCTCTTCTCCCGAGCCCATGGCTCATTCGAGAGACTGCCCACGTCGCCGAGGGAATCCCGCCTGCTGGGGGTTCGAGCGTGCGGGATGGTCGGCTGTCGCCCTCGCCCTGTTCCTCCCCCATTGGGGTCCAACGTCCCGTCAGAAGGGGGGGAGGAGGAGGAGGAGGAGGAGGAGGAGGAGGAGGAGGAGGAGGAGGAGGAGGAGGAGGAGGAGGAGGAGGAAGAAGAGGAGGATGAGGAGGAGGGGGTGGGGGCTTTTCGCATTCGCTTCTTCTGAAAACCGAGCTGCGGCGGCCCGTGAGCAGGTGCGCAGCATGCGGCATGCTGCCCAGGATGCCCGTGCAGCGGTGAAGCCATCGTGCTGCCATGACGAAGGCATAATGTTAAGGACGCGGCTCTGCAGAGGGGGGGCCCTCAGGTCGACGGCGGCAGCCAGGGGGCTGGGGAGGGGGGGGACGATCCCACGGGGGGCTGGGGGAGGGGGGGACGAGCTGGCCAGCGGGCCTTCTGGGCCCTCGGGGCCTTCAGCTCCAGCATCCAAGGCCTCCGAGATTCCCAAGCCATCCACGAAGCCGACCCACGGAGAACACAAGAAGCCATGTGAGACCCCAAGAACGCCAACAGAGGTTCCGTGCGGGGACCCAGAGATCCAAACCTAACAAAAACACCAAGTGATCAGACATGTTATCCAAATAGGCTTGCCCTATAGGAGTCCTAGCTCATCATAAGTAATTGGTCTTTAGGACCCTCCCTTTTTTCAATGGCATCCCCCCTTATTTCCAATGACACCCCCTCCCCTCCTGTTTCCAATGCCCCCCCCTTATTTCTAATGGCCCCCCCTCCCCTCCCCTTTTTCCAATGCCCCCTTATTTCCAATGGCCCCCACACTATTTTCAATGGCGAGTCCTATGCTTGCTCTTGCTTGCTTGCTTGCTCTTGCTTGCTTACTCTTGCTTGCTTGCTCTTGCTTGCTTGCACTTGATCGCTGGGTCTTGCTTGGTTGTTATTGCTCGCTTGCGCTTGCTGGCTTCCGCTTGCTTGATTTTGCTCCTCCCGTCCTCCTCCCGTCCTCCTTTCGTCCTCCTACCATGCTCCTCTCGTCCTCCTATATATTTGGAGTCAACGCTGGCTGATATTGTTATTACTGATCGCGTCATCGTTTCCAAGCACGCCCTCCCCGAAAGGTCCAGGAGGCCCAAGCTTCTGGACAACCCAAGATCTTGATCCCAAAAAGGCCCCCCAAACTCTAGGCTGGATAACCCGAAAACCGCAAAAGAACCCCAGAAGCCCTAACATTACTCAACATTGCCTGTACGGGTCTCGAATCAAGCCCAAATGTTTGGTTACACAATTACACACGCGTCCAAACCACACACACACATTAATTGGGCGATTTGCGTGCTAACTCCTGGCTGGGTGAGGCGCCGTGACTTCCGCTTTGCGGGCTCACTGTCTGCTTTCTCATGACGTGGCAAATCATCAATTCGAGGTTCATGCTCTCACAACACCTAACCTCCATTACCCCTACTACGGCGGTCCTCTCCCTCCTTCTCATATCTGGTCTTCTTCTTACGCCTTCACATCATCCTTCTGCGTCGAGCCCTCGAAAGACCAATGCGTCCCAAGAGAGGGCGCGACACGGAAATAACTCCTCACCATCCTGCCCGCTCTCTCACGTCCCCTTGCCTCCCTGGCCATCCTGGCCATCGACTCGCCCTTCGTAGTCGTCCTGCGGCTATCCTAAGTGGGCAAACCGTATAACCCAGACTGCATTCGCCTCGTCTACCTCTCGGGGGTCCGCGGACTGGCGAACACGGATGGATGGATTGGGTGCATCTCGCGTAAGCGTCGCACACATTCGTCTTGACCTCTTGCAGGATGTCCACGAATTGAGGGCGGCTCCGTTCAACAATGGTGCTGAATTTCAATATTTCCAGAGGTCTCTGACAACCAATGTTAAAGCGCGTAACACATGGCAAGGATGCAGGGGGTCCGTTCTGATGTGCGAATATCGCTTGGGATTTTCACATGGCAATTGCTGAGAACGTACAGCGCCACACATATGGAGGGTGGCACCTCGTTGAACTTGGATTATTGCTTGGCACTTCCTTCCAACATCTGGGCCTTCCCCACATTTCTTCCAACTCGGTCCCATTCAAAACGGGGCTCTTGCCTGAACGGCAAGCTCGTGGGGAAAACGTATTTCGAGGGGGGCGCTCCCCGTACTGAATAGGAGCACAGGTGAGGACTTGCGCGAGGAAAGGACTTGAGGTGCGAGGGTGTTTTGCAGCATTGTTGGTGCATTCTGGGTTTACTCTGGTAGTCGTCGTCCTCCTCCTTATCCTGCTTATTCTTTTCCTTGGACCAGAGGCCTCTTACACATTTCTTGGGGTCTCTCGAGGGGCCTCTCCGAAGTCTCGTGGATCAATTAGGGGGCCCCTTGGGGGCTCCTGGTGGCCTCTTGGGTCCTGGGGGCAACTTTTTTGGGAAAAGCTCCGGAGCCTGCGCTTTCCCCCTCTTGGGTCCCTCGCGGGGCCCGCTTGGAGCCTCTTGGGCCTACCTGGGGGCCTCATGGGTCGCCTTGGGGCCCTCTTGGGCCGACCTGAGGCTCTCTTGAAGCTGTCCTTGGGGCCTTTAGTGCCGTGTTGGGAAGTCTGAAACTAGACAAGGTGAGATCGCATCGTTTGGAAAGTGATGGGAATGACTGAATTTTGACTCGTGGAGCCCCTTCGGGGTGATCTTGGGGCGTCTTGGGAGCCTGTTGGATTATCTCGAGGAGACCTTGGGCCTCCTGGAGCGCCCTCGGGCCGTCTCAGGACCATCTTGAAGCGTCTTGGGGCCCTCTCGTGACCCTCTTGGGCTGTGTGAGCACCCTCTTGGGACTTCTTTGGGTGTTCTGGGGTAGCCGGGGGGGCTGGGGACGGGATGCACCACTTAGTTTACACCGACCCCTGGTGTTCTGCGGCCCAACTTTGAACGCCTCACTCTACCCCTCCTCCTCCTCCTCCTCCCTCCTCCTCCTTCCTCCTCCTCCTGCTCCTCCTCCTCCTCCTCCTCCTGCATTCCTTTTCCTTATGAATAATTTCTCCCTGTCGCAGACCGAGGCCAATTTTTAGGGCGAGCCGGGCGTTTCGCCGGAGCTTTCCTCCTCATTCATGGTCCTGAAGCTTGATAAATAGCAGCAGCTTCGCAGATGGAGGGCGGGTAGTTTTCCAAATGTGGCTCTCGCCTCAGCGCCGCGCACATTCGTTTTAAAACTTTGCAAGGTTTTCACCTTTTGAAGGCGCAATATATGGCTTTCGCTTTAGCGCCGCGTAAATTCATTTTCAACGTTTGCAAGAGCTTCACGGATTGAGGGCGGGTCGTTTCCAAAATGTGGCTTTCACGCAGTGAAAACGGTTCCTTATCAAAATGTGGCTCTCGCCTTGGCGCCACGCACATTCGTTATGTAAAAGTTGCAAGAATTTCACGGGTTCCCATGATCAGAGTACCAGAAGCCGTGTTCTGGGAAGATTCAGGATTATGAGGATGCAACAGTTACGTTGGTTCGCGGCGTTGGCGTGCCAAATCTGGCGTTCTGGCACGAGTCCGGATCGTCCAGGCGCAACGATCAAATTGATCCGCGGCGTTGGAATCCCGAGAACATTGTTTTGGTATGCTTCAGGGTCTTCAAACGGTTGTCTTCCAACGAGGCAGTTTGCTCTGTGGAAATTAACCGTTGTAGGGCCCTATGAAGAGGGAGCTCGGAGGGATGGTTAATTCCTCCAACATCGTTGATGACTCTTGGGTTTGCACTGGTCCTCCTCCTCCTCCTCCTCCTCCTCCTTCTCCTCCTCCTCCTCCTCCTCCTCCTCCTCCTCCTCCCCCTCCCACTCCCCTTCCTCCTCATCCTTTCAAGGCCTTTCAATCTCGAGTCTATACCGCTATATAGCGGCGTACCCGTTCAGAAGATGTCATTCAAGTGGTTGCCGAACTCGCTGAACTCGTCCTCTCCGCCACTGGCCCTAACCCCTCGCCCTGCAGGGGTGGGCTGCGCCCTGGGGCCTACCCCCTCGCCCCGCAGGGGTAGCGAAGATGATCCAGTCGAAGGTTTTCTCGTGCACAGCGCGCGCGACCTTGGGCCTAACCCCTCGCCCTGCTGGGGTGGGCAGTGCCCTGGTGCCTGCCCCCTCGCCCCGCGGGGTGGCGTCGAAGTGGTCGGCGCTGTCCTTCGGGTGCCGGACGGCTGCGTCCGCGGAGTTCTGGGGGCCGTAGCTGCGCTGGTTGCCGCTGTCGCCACGGTCGTCCACCTCCTCGAGAAGGCGGAAGCGCGCCTTCTTGGCGATGGGTCCACGGTGGTCGCTCTCTACGTGGTGGTCTTCCTCGGGCATGCCGACCTCGATGGGGCTCAGGTCCTCGCTGGCGTAGGCGCCGAGGAGCTGCGCCCACCGCGGGTCCGTGGCGAGCGTTGCCCTGGGTTCCTTGGTGATCCAGTCCGCCATTTCTTCGCAGGTGAGGCTGCTCAAGGCCGCCGCTGCCACCTCTTCCGGGCGGCCGCCTTGCATGCTGTAGCGCGGGATGTTCGCAAGGGCGGCCAGCTTGGCGATCGACGTGTCCTCGTAGGTGTCGCGCTGGTCCTTTGGGGAGCGGCGCGTGCGCCGCGGGCGCTCCCATCGCTTGCGCGGTGCCCCAGCGCGCTCGCAAAGCTGCCAGGTTCTCCTCGTTCTTGTCGGTGGGGTCATCGATCTCGTCCTCGAAGTCCTCCTCGAAAACGCGCAATGGGCGTCGGATTGTCGGTGGGATTCGGCTTCTCCCCCATGCGGCCTTGTCGATCTCGAGAGCCTGGTTGCCTGTGCCCTCCACGGTGTCATGGTCTGTCGGCTCGTGGTGCTCCTCGAGCTCCTCGAGCTGCGCCTCGCTGCCCTCGTCGTTGTCCTCCGAGTCCTCCTGCTCGTGCCCTACGTGGCCCTCTGGAGTGCGGTCCTCCGTGGCCTCTGCGCTGTAGCTGACGTCGTCGGGCACTGGCTTCGCCTCCAACTTCTCGCGCGGTGTCTTCGCCGTAGCCTCTGCACTGTAGCTGACGGCATTGGCCTCGTGCTTCGCCCCCCGCTTCTCGCAAGGTGGCTTCCCCGTGGCCTCTGCGCTGTAGCCGACGGCGTCGGGCTCAAGCTTCGCCTCCAGCTTCTCACTATGTGGCTTCGTCGTGGCCTCTGCCCTGTAGTTGACGTGGTCGGGTTTGTGCTTCGCCTCCAGCTTCTCGCATGGTGACTTAGCCGTGGCCTCATGGCAGTAGGTGTCGGGCCCTTGCTTCGCCCCCTGCTTCTCGCAAGGTAGCTTTGACTGGCTTTCCACCGCGTCCTCGTCCACGCCCCCGTCTTCTCCGTCTGGGTCCTCGTCCAAGCGGCTCTGTAGCTCATGACGGTTGGGATTCGATTCGCCGTGAACGCAGAACCGTCGCTGATGACGCGCAACTGGCCATTCTTTCCACGCGTGCACGCAAAGGCTGGGCCCCGCAGCGCCACTGCCGTAGCATCCGCTGCCACTGCCCGCGTCCCCGCTGTCACGGCCCGCCTTCTGGGTGCTGCCACTGTCCGCCTGCTTTTGACCTTTCCTGCCGCTGCACGCCGACTCTTGACAGCCGCTGCCACTGCCGTCACTTTCACACGCGCCCTGCAACCACTGCCCGCCTTCTGGATGCTGGATATGGCTCTTCACTCAGTCCTCATCCTCGCCGTCTGGGTCGTCGTTCAAGCGGCTCTGTAGCCGATGACGGTTGGGCTCCGATACGCCGTGGGCGCCACTGCCGTAACGTCCGCTGCCACTGCCCGCATCCCTGCTGCAACTGCCCGCCTTCCGGGTGCTGCCACTGCCGGCATGTTCTCGAGCACTAGTGCCACCGTCCGCCAAATCTTGACCGCGGTGTGGCTGATGACGTTCGGGTTGAGCGCGGTCACACCCGTCAAGCACAGCAGCCCCAGAGCTCCCTGTAAATTCTCTCTCTGCTGGCGCAGGCTGTTGAGCCACGATGTTGTGGTTGAGCCACGCTGTTGTTTGAGCCACGCCATTGTTTCTTTATTCTTGACCGCTGCTGCCACTGCCGTCGCTTCCGCCAGCTGCCTGGGGCCACGCACCTCCTCTCTCGCAGGGGTCGTTCGCTTGGGCGCTGTAGCTGATGACGTCTAGCGTCCAGCGCTGTTCCCAAAAAGGTTCGTGATGCGCTCGTTGCCACCACTGGTGCCACTCTTGCAATTGGCGCTGCAGGTCGGAAGTGTGTTGACTGTGAGACTATAGTTGATGGCTCGCTGCTCGTTGCGCCGCCGCCTGGCGCGCTTTCCGCGCGAGGCGAACCTGTTGAGCCCAGTCGCGCGCGAGGCGCCTTGCTGCAGCTGCACCGGCTCCACGCTCTTCCTGGGAGCGTTCTGCCAGGGCCGTGCCATAAGATGAGGCTCCATCGCGGCGCGGTCGGCAGATCCCGCGAACGCACACGCCTGGGGCCGGCCCGCTCCGCGGCCCCCCGGCGGGAGGGTAGTCGCGGTTCGGGCCCCCGATGGCCCTAGCCTCCTCCTCCTCCTCCTCCTCCTCCTTACCTCCTCCTCCTCCTCCTCCTTAGGGCTCCCAACTTCGCGCTTCGCGCTCCGCGAAGCGCGAAGCGCGAATAACTTCGCGCCCTCGCGCCGCCCCCCCAAAGGGAGAAAAGGAGGACGAGGAGGAGGGGGGAGAAGGAACGAGGACCGCGAAGCGCGAATAACTTCGCGCCCTCGTGGGAGCCCTTGCCTCCTCCTCCTCCTCCTCCTCCTCCTCCTCCTCAAAGCTCTCCGGAGGTCTACGCAGGCCTTCGGATGCTTCCAGAGGTCCAAAAACTCTGAAGTCTACCAAACAGCTAAGCCCAGATCCTTCCACCTCGATGCCCATCCTCTTCCTCGTCCTCCTCGTCGTCCCCGTTCTCGTCCTCTTCCTCGTCCTCCTCTTCCGTTCCCGTCCAGCGGCGGCGGTGGTCGCCGAGTCCGGCGGGAGCACGACCTCGCTCGAATGGGCCGTGCTTCCTGCGCGATCCCGCGGCCCTCGCCCGGTCCCCTCGCCGCTGCCGCCGCCGTCGCCGCCATCGCCGTCGTCGTTGCCGTCGACACTGCTGTTGCCGTCGCCCTGCCGATGCTGCGACCCCTCCTCCTCCTCCTCCTCCTCCTCCTCCTCCTCCTCCTCCTGCTCATCGACTTTTTCCGCTCCTCCCCCGACCGCTGCTTCAGCACTCGAACGGTAGGTTACCTGTACATCATAACAGTGAGGAAAGGCAACATGTGCGGGTCCCTTGGCATTTGGCTCAAGGGATCCCTGTCCGCGCCCACTGTACAATCGCTTTACATGGCAAGCTGCTCTACAATCGGGATGCAAACATCTCTTCTACCCATCACTGTACATCTTAGTTGGTAGCGGAGCACGTTGCTCCGAGATCCACAACCGCCATGGCCCGCGTGGCTCTCCCTCCCACAAACGGCTCCCGCTCTACATTCCGTTCTACATCGGTACCACGCGTACCTAATCTACACTCATGCCTCATGCTGGGCACCCCCCTCGTCTCGGCAGGCGACGTGCCTCGAGGGCCGGTGGGGCCCCGCCGACCCAGCCGCCAGGAGAAGCCGAGGTACCCCAGCACGACCATGACTACCTGTATCAGAACACCTTCGAGAAGGACAGCGCCCCCCGCCCACCGACTCCCCCCTTCGGGTACTCTCGAATATGTTCGAGATGCTCGGGGTCCCTTCGTCGTCGCAGCACTCGACTGTGAGTGCCGCCGTCAGCGTCAGACCGTCGAGCGATCTGACGTCCAAACTCACGGCGTCGGCGCAGGGCCCCGAGCTGCTCGCAAACGTGTTGCGGAATCCCAATAGGGGAAAGCGGCAAAGGGCGCACCACCCTCATTGCATCCGCATGTGGTTGTAGCTGGCAGTATCAAGCAATCCTTCGATCCGACGCTCACATCGTCGGTGTCGGCAAGGCGCCCCGACTTGTCCGCAACTGTCTTGTGGAAGCCGGAGAAAGCACGTGCAGGCAAGAGCGGGAATGCAGAGGAGAATCGGGCAACTAAGTTGCCAGCTCACCATGATCCTGCAACACTACAGCGTGGCCTATCCGACGGACGCTCCACAACTAGCACACAAGATGGGCCAACTACGCAGATTTGGACATATGATCGAAGGCTCGCCGGGCAATCTTGCCTCAGCCGTGCAGTCGTCCCAACGCCACGCGTTCTTCAAGGGTGCGCCCACGCACGATCAGGGTAGGAGTGCCTGTGGCACTGGAGCCACCTTCAGCCATTGGAGCGGCAACGAGCCCGCCTGCAGCGCCAGCTGCCGCCATCGCCGACGCATCAGCAGCACCGCAGGTGGCATATCCAGCAGCAAGTTTCACCTCGGGCACCGACTCTGATACCATCAGCTCATTCGGCGAAGAACACTTCTTTTGGGCCTCCGAGCGCGCCAAGTACGAATGGCGCCGCTTCAACAACAACAAGCCCAGCGCCGCGCGCAGAGGGTCATCGAACGCAAAGGCAAAGGCCACAGAAAAGGCTGCCGCGTCTTTCTGGCCGACTTGTCCGACAACGACCTCGGTGAAACCTTCGCTGGCTTCGGAAAGGGCAGGTGCAAGGGAACGTGGAAGCATCGGACCAGTGGCTGGGATTCCGCCTACAAGGCAATCCTTTGGGTCCTGACGGGACACGTCTCAAGTGCCACGAGTGCGACTCCGAGGAGCGCCTTGCGCGCGACTGTCCCCGCCGGCGCCAACACGAGCGCCCCTCTTCCTCAGCGCCCCAGCCTCAACAGCACCACCACCACATACACCAGTATCCTCAGCACTCACGCACCTGGGTCACCATGGAACGCCTGGACCAGCCTGCTCCACAACCAGCGCCCTGTGCCTAGTCGGTCTGGATGTCCAAAGAAACCCATGGGATGCCCCAATCTGTGGTTCTGGGACCCGACAGCGATGACCCCATGCAGAGCGCCGATTCCTGGAATGGCGGTCAGCCGACTCCAACGTCGGCAACTATGCGGCCAGCACTGGCCGCAGCAGCTCCCAGTGCTTCGTCCGACAGCTCCTGGCAGGCGGTTGGCCAGAGCCATTGGTCAAGTTGTGTGGGTAGTTCATCGTCTTCATCAGCTTCGCCTAACCCTCGTGAGGCCGAACTTCGGCGACTGCGCCAAGACATGGGCGACATCATGCGCCACGTACGACAGGACTCTGCTCAACTGGCGGATAAGGCAACTATGTTGCCAGTCCGCGTGGCAGGAGTGGGGAACGCAACAGCTACAACACCCACAACTCCAGCCGCATCTGCAACACCACCACCACCGACACCACAGCGCTGGGCCGGAATGGCAGGTGCTTTCCCGCTGGGGCCACAGCAAGGGCGCAACGGGGTAAGCGACATCAGTGCCCGAGTCGCTTTGCCATCTAGTCCACCTGCCGATGTGCATTCGCCGCGCTGGACTTACATGCCATCAGTCTCAGCACGCGGAACTAGCACACCATATGGATCCAGCTCCATGTGGCCACCACAGTCCGCACCAATATCAGTGTCAACACCGATGCCAGAACCTCCCAACGATCTGGCTGTCTTCAACCAACACGTCCCCATCGACGTGAACTAGCCATCCGGGAGAGTGGCCGTGTGGTTGGCCGGCCGCGACACTTGGATGTCCAGCGGCGTGCGATCCGACCGCGGAGTGGGCTCCACGCTCGACCGCGCACAATGACGACACCTCGACGAGCTCCACAGCACCCAACTTGCACTTGAACTCTTACGACAACCAAACGAGCAACGAAGATGAACCGCACAACATTGGACAAAACCCCCTACTAATCCACCTCCTGTGCCGGCTGCCGCACCAACTACACCCCGCGTCGCGGTCTTCAACGGCGACGACCGGGAATGTCTTATCTGCATCGAGGCTTTCGTACATGGTGATCGAGTGGTACGCATACAGTGCCGCCACATCCTGCACCAGGCATGCCAGCCACAACTTTTGCAGAACACCGACGCCCACTTGGTGTACTGCCTGGCGCGCCGAGGCCCGGCTGACGTCATCGCCGATGTCCGCTTGCGAAACGTACTACAACGGGTCCGTCAACCGTGTTGCCGGCCCGTGCGGCAGACCCTAGCACTCCGGGTCGGGCACCCATGTTGCCATCCTGGCCGATGCCAGACAACAACGTACCAGAGGAGACATCACCACAGCAAGACACCGTCCAGACTCCTCGGCTCGCCCCGACACCAGGGACACCACAGCAGGATCTTATGCAATCCAATCCCCTGGCAATGCTTCCAATTTTGCGTCCGCTGCCGATGTGGCAATACCGTGCGACACCCGCCTGGACTTGCAAACTCCGCCGTGCCGACCGACGCTCCCGTGGTGGCCTACCTCGTCAGGTACAGGCCCAAGTCCACCCACCGACTCACCATACTACCTGGCGAGCACCGACCTCCCAGGCGGTCGGTGTGGTGTCATTGTGGATACCGGCGCCTGGATCAACCTCTGGGGGCAACCCTTCGCGATGAGCCTGGCGGACGAAGCCATGAAGGCTAGGCTTCAGCCCACAGAGGAGAGGCTGGCGTCTCCACTCTACGTAGCAGGAATGGGCAACGGCTCACAAATTGCCCATTGGAAGGTACACTGCCCCATCGCGGTCACCACACGCGACGGCGTGACCACCCAGCACAGCATGCGTGCTCCTGCAGTGGAGGGCGACGGCTTCGATCTCCCTGTCCTACCCGGTCTGCAATTCATGCAGTCTAACAACGGGTTTGTGGAGACAAGCTTAGCACAAAAAACGCCTCACGTTTCCCAGTCCTGGAGGTTGTGAAATTAACTGGAGCCCAGGCACCATTCACTTCGACCTAGAGTCAGCTCCAAATGGCCACATAAGCATAGTTACCAATCGACAACATTGACCAACTCCAACCACCGACCGGGGGACTGCCACCTGAATAGTTCACACTACTAGCAGTGGGCACAACCAACAGGACAACGACACCAACGACGCACGCGAGTTTAGAGAAGCTCAGCATACAGCTTCATAGCCCCAACGCACAAGCACCAGTGCTGGGCACGCCTCTGGCAGCAGGCTGCGACCTATTCGCCTGCGCGGACGTCAGTATCGTGTGGTCGCGAACTGGTGCCTACGGGCGTGGCCGCTCTTGCCACTGGGCACCTACTTGTGGATCGCCCCACGCTCAGGACTAGTCCTCAAGGGTATCGACGTCGCCGGCGGAGTGGTAGACCCCGACTACCGCGGCGAGATCACGGTGATCATGCACAGCACCAGCCCGCGGACGTTCGTGGTCGAGCAGGGCCGAAAGATCGCCCAACTCATCCTGGAACGCATCATCACAGACTCCGATATCATGGTCGTTACCAACCTTCCTCCATCTTCCCACGGCTCTGGGGGCTTCGGTCGCACCGGCATGACGTGCGTGCCTCAACTACGACCCCATCTCGCAGGAAACGGGCACTACAGGTAGGTCGGGCATGTCCCCCTTCAGGCGGATTTTGGACGAACAGAAATATGTTCGAAACATATTCTAAAATAGTGACAGAATCGTCGCCACACTATTTTTTGACGATTTTTGAATATTCCTCCCGTAGAGGGACACGCCCACACTACAGCACTATCAGGGTCAAGCGGCAACTATGTTGCCGAAGACCCCACGCGGCAGCCACACTATAGGAGGACGGGTCGGCCCACGAGGCTGACCCAGCCGACCTGCCCCCAGCAGAAGCGGGCAGCAGGCCCAGGACGTCCCCGCCAGGGTCCTGGAAAGAGGCGGGACGCCTCACTGGCGCTACAAAGGCATGGCTTCGACGTCATCCGCACCGCCAATTTCGAGGGTGCTATCGCGACGCTAGCCGACTCCGCATTTCCCAGCTCCACCTACAACATCGTAAGGACCACGTGCGACACGGATAGGAACGATTCCCCTAATTCTCGACTCCCTTCCCGACTGGTGTCCACGAGGCAAGGACTCTGGCACCAGAATCGTGATCTACGGCCGCCACGGCCAGCAATGAAACGACCACAATACGACAGATTATCGACACACATGTGCTCCACCTGACTGAGCACAGGGCATGCCCCAAGCCCTTTGCCCCAGAGGCCAAACATATCAATTCAATCTTTATGGTGCTTACCGGAGCACCCATTTGCAACCAGCTATATAGGTGCAATATCAAGCTCGACTAGCACAAATACCACTGGACGATCATCAACCCGAAACTTTACACGGCTCTGATGTGCCGTGAGGTCGGTCTTGCGCCGCGCTTTCGCAGTTCGCAGCTCTCAGCGAGCCCCCCAGGGAGGGCGTCGAGGCAGGATGTAAGAGGCAGGAGAAGAGAGGAGGGAGGAGGGAGGCGGGATGAGAAGGACAAAGTCGCGACCGCAGGGTTCTTCCGAAACGAGAACCCGACGCAGGAGGGGGGTTGGGAAACCGACAACCTCTAGAACCTCCTCTTCCTCCTGCTCCTCATGCTGCTCCTCCTCGTTCCTCCTCCTCCTCTGAAGGGGCCCCAGGACACACAAATAAATACACACAAATAAAACATTCCCCACATTTTCCCACATTTTCTGGGTTTTTGTCTTCCCCCCCACTTCCCATATTTTCCCATATTTTCTGGGAATCTACGATTAATTGTGTCTGTGTGTTTTTTCCCCTCCTGATCCTCCCTCTTCCTCCAAGAGGAGGAGGAGGAGGAGGAGGAGGAGGAGGAGGAGGAGGAGGAGGAGGAGGAGGAGGAGGAGGAGGAGGAGGAGGAGGAGGAGGAGGAGGAGGAGGCGCGCCAGTGCTCCTGCGTCGGCCGGAGCCCGCTGCGAGCCGTCCAGCGCCCCCGAGTCGGCCGAGGCATCCCGCGTCGGGGTCGGCAGTCGCAGCGCGCAGCTGTCCATGCTCGCGAAACCGCTGGCCTGGCCATGCCGGCTCCTCCGGCTCCCTCCTCCTCCTCCTCCTCCTCCTCCTCTTCTTCTTCCTCCTCCTCCTCCTCCATTCTCCTCCTCCTCCTCCATTCTCCTCCTCCTCCTCTTCCTCCGCCGGGCCGGCTGGGGCTTTGCCCAAATCGGCGACCACACGGTTGAACTGGTGGTCTTCGGCCCGCTCCCAGGACCCGTTCAAACGTCCCCTCGTGCGGAACTGTACGCCGTCGTTCAGATTCTATGAGCTGCTTTGCTGCCGCTGACGATCTATATACACAGATTATCTGGACCTCCCCCAAGGGCTCGAGCGAGGACCAGAATGGGACTGTCACCCAAGTCGTCCCACTGCACACCTTTGGCGTGAGATCTGGCGAAAAATCGATGACCTAGGAAGCTTGTCTGAGGCGCTAGAAACTGTGCACGTTCCAGCTCACCAGCGTGGGCAGGGCTGCGTGGCCCGAGTGCATAGATGGGCGTGTTTTTTTTTGTTTTTTTTTTTTTGTTGCAGGCAACTTTAGGAGACTCCGTGTACCCTGGGAGCTCTCTGGGCCTGGGCGCTCTGGGCCTCGGACGGCGATCGCGACAGACCACGCTCCCGCGGCACCCGGCTTCCGCACAGGGCCGAACGGCAGAGGACCAGTGAAGAGCACGACGTGCGCGGCATCGCACATGCACAATCACCTGGCGGGAGCTGTCCTGCGAGCGTGGCCGAAATTGTGGGCGCACATCCGAGGAGAGAGGAGGGAGGAAAGAAGAAACGACAAAGACGACGAGGGAGGAGGATAGGAAGGGGCAAGGGCGCTGTGCGACGTTCCCCTGCGGCCCAAACGGCCGCCAGGACCTGCGGCCTGCCAGGACCGAGACGTTCATGCTGTCCCTCAGGTGGACGCGAAACGCATCAAGGACACGTTTGAGGCGGCTCGGAAAGCTTTGGTCTGGATGGCTCGGTCCCACGCGGCCTACATGGCCGCCACCGCGTCGCCAGGTCAAACTCGTTTTGTTGAGCGTCAGAGGGCGAGGGCTCATCGGCAGCGCCGGACGCCTGATGCTAGTTTGTTTCACGCTTTCTACCCGCATGGGCGGGGGTGGGAATGTGCGTGCGGCAAGACGGTTATGACCGAAAAACAGCGCAAGATAACCTCGCGTCGCCAGTGTCCTGCGAAGATTTCTTTGCGCGATCGGACGGCCTTGTTGGCCCAGCGTGTCAGGTCCTCTGCTTTTCCTGTGCCGAACTGTTCGCAAGCCGCCGACCCGACGCGATGTGCCGCTGATAGCCCTGGAGGCCCCGTGGAGCCGTCGTCGTCGTCGTCGTCGTCGTCGTCGTCGTCGTCGTCGTCGTCGTCGTCGTCGTCGTCGTCGTGGTCGTCGTCGTCGTCGTCGTCGTCGTCGTCGTCGTCGTCGTCATGTCGTCGTCGTCGTCGTCATGTCGTCATGTCGTCGTCGTCGTCGTCGTCGTCGTCGTCGTCGTCGTCGTCATTGTCGTCGTCGTCGTCGTCTCAGGTCGTGGGCACCTCGCGTCCGGTCTTGTGAGCGTGAAGCGCTCAGGTCTGTGTGTGCCCGCCTCCAGCAGGATGATGTCTCGCCGACTTGTGGGGAGCTTGCCCGTGCTAGCACGCGTGTGCGTCTCCGCTCCGACTCTGAAGAGCGTCGCGCCCCCCGCGACGTCCGCACCCGTCTCGAGCGTCTTCCCCAGGAGGAGGGTGAGGATGTCTCGTTGGAGTCGCTGCAGGCTGATGAGCTTGGAGGTTTCTCGCCTGCTCGAGTTTTTGGCCGGGTCCGTGCTCGGCTCGCCAGGACCAGACTCGCGAGCCCTCGTCTCCCCCTCGGATCGTGAGAACTCGCCTCGATAGCCCAGCGCCTCCTGATGGAGGCGCCGCTCGTGCCGTCACGTTCGCGAGCCCCGCGCACGGGGCTCGCGACCAGGCCACCGCCAGCTTCCAGGCGGGGCCCCGTGCTGCCGCTGCCTCTCCTCCTCCTCCTCCTCCTCCTCCTCCTCCTCCTCCTCCTCCTCCTCCTCCTCCTCTCCTCGGTGGTGGGCGGGAGCGGGCGGTGGGGATGGTGGCTCCATGCGAGACGTGTCCGGCAGCGCGCCCGCGGGACGAGGGTCCACCGCCGCTGCGCGCGGGGCGAGATTCGAGGGCGCCGCCCGCAAGCAATCTTGGCAACTTAAGACTGGCAGCCTCCTGATCTCCTCATTCGCACTTCTTGTGGCGGCGCGCCTTGGTTCAAACGCGTCAGCGTGGGTGGATTGCCCAATTGCAACCCATTGAGGGCCCCGGGCCAGGCCGTCGGGAACGGAGGCCGATTGTGGCACTTGCTGCAGCGCCAGCGGCCAGCGCCGCAGATGCTTGCCAGTGTCAGTTTCAGCCCAGCAACATGCCCCGTGATGAATTCGGCCAAGATCCCGCCCGCATCATGCCTCTCCGCCCCCCCCCTCGCGCCCGAAGGGATCGCGCCGCGCGCGGGTGCGTGGCGGGGCGGCCAACTCCTTTTTCGTTAAAAGATGCGGATGATGATAATGCTTGGATCTATGGATTTGCTGAGCCAATGGAATGTGAGGAGATATCTTTGCGCCGTTCGCATCCCGCCCGCAGCGTCTTTCCCCCTCACCTCCGTCGAGTGAATTGGAGTCCCGCCTTCGTTTTTCGGTTTCCTATAACTCGAAATTCTGGGCAGGGCCAGGTTTGGCGCGTCCTCCTTGCCTTCCCCGCAGGAGGGCTCAAGCGGGCCCAGACTTGCGGCAGTTCGCCACCTTGTGTCGCCGGGGAATGCGGGGCCGCGGGGGGGCCCCGCGACGGCGCCAGCTGCGGCTACTGCTGCGGGCGAGAACGGTGGCTGAGGGGCAGAATCAGGGGCAGCTCAGTTCCAGGGCGCAGCGCAGATACATGCATCCACGCCCCCCTTCCCCCCTGCCTCCCGCCCCAACTCTGCAGCGGCAGAAGCGCCTCCGAAGCCGCGTGGGGTGAGCTAGAATGGCGACGCAAGTGCGCCTGACAGGTGGGCGCTGACTCCCCCCCACCTCCGGGGGGTTTCCATCGCGGGTATCTGGATATTGGAGGGGGGCGGCCGCGGCCCCGCAACTTCGAGGACGTCGCGCCGCAATGGGGCCGGGGGCGGGCTGGGGCGCCTCGGGGGGGCATTTCATTCATTGCCGTGCCGCGAAAAAATATTGCCAAATTTCCTCCGTTGCCTCCGCCTCCACATGTTCCGCCCCTGCCCCCATTCGCGCGCCCTTTGCCTGGCCGCAGTCGCGGCCTTTTCCAGTGCGCGCTCTTCCTACAGATGTTCCGCCAGAGCCACCTGGGGATTTCTCGCAGCTGCCCAGCTGTGCAAGCTACCATGATGCGCCTGCCTGCCCCCCTCGCCCTCTCGCTCAAACAGAATTGCCCCCGCCGCAGCCGCCCCCGCCGGGGTGGGTGGGTGGGGGGCAGCCGCGCCCGTGCCGTTGGCGGTGGAGGGGGCGAGCGTGGGCAAAGACCCTGGCACATCCTGTAGCGACTCCAATCGCGCCCTCTGCTTGTCTGCTCCAACCTCACCCAAAACAACCGCGGCTGCGTTCGAGCTGGCCACGCAGCGCCGGTCGCCGTTCGAGTTGCTCTCGAGTGGGACCGAGCCAGGAAGCGCAATGATGCCGGGCGCATCGGGGCCATCGAGTTCATTCGCAGTCATGGCCAGTTCGAGATAGCAAGAGCCGCGGCGGCCGCTCTTCTTGGACTCTCTGACGGGATTCGAAATCGCACAAATGGCAAGCTTTTCACGCAGTCTCAAGGTGATCGCGCAGAGTCGTCCTCGGATGCAGCGCCTGCTGACGACTCAGCTCCCGCATCGCCCGCTGTGAGTCCACCGCCTCCGCCTGCGCCTAGAGCCCTGCTTCCACTGGTGATTGCAGACTTTTGCAGGACGCGGCCGCCGGCCTCGGCATCTTTGCCCGCCGCGCCCTGAGCCGCCGACCAACCGCTGGCGGGCTCTTTTCTCTCGGGCTGCCCTGGGCGCCGAGGTCCGCGCTGCCGGCGCCGCCCCCCCAGCTTCACTGAATGTGGGCGTGGGCGGAGCGGGCCAGACGGCCAACCGCCGCGCGCAAAGCGCCAGCCTTAGCTCCTCAAGCTTGGCATGGTCCAGGACCTTCGGTGGCGCCTTTCCTACCTCGCGTATTTCGGCGCATTCTGCCCTCTCCTGCCAGGGCAACATTTGTTTATGATTATGGCGCGAGCGCGGGGCCCCTCCTGCTGTCGTCATCGTCCCTTCCTACTCCTCCCTTCCTTTCCCCGCGCTGTCTCCCATTCTATGGCCGCCGCCCGTTCTTGTTCCCCTGGGGCGCACCTCTTGTCCTGGGCGCGTCTTCCGCGCACCTAGGTGTGCTGAGGGCCCCCCTCGCCCTCCCTCTTCCTCCTGGGTCAGTGCTGCCTTTGCTGATTGACCAGCGGCCTCAGCTCGCGCTGCTTTTCTTTCCCCCGACCATCCTGTGGTGTTGGGTCCTCGTTTTGAAGAGGCAGCGCCCCGCGTTCCTCCCTCCTCCTTCCTCCTCTCTCTCCCTCCTCTCTCCCCTTGCACCCCTCGCGCGTTTCGTCGCCCCATAGAGAGCTCCGCTGAAGGCCCCAGTGACAAGGTTCGCATGCGATTGCATCCCAAGTTCGGCAACCCCCTCACACGTTTCGTGCCCCCCATAGCCCCAGCGGAGGCCCCACTGACAGGGTTCGCGTGCGGTTCCACCTCTATTTCGGCACACCCTTCACCCGATTCGTCGCCCGATAGGGAGCTCCATCGAAGGCGCCAGTGGCAAGGTTCGCATGCGGTTCCATCCCCATTTCGGCACACCATTCACACGTTTCGTGGCTCCATAGGAAGCTCCATCGAAGGCACCAGTGGCAGGGTTCGCATGCGGTTCCATCCCAATTCGTGCCCCCTATCGGAAGCTCCAACGGAGCACCCAGTGGCAGGGTTCGCATGCGGTTCCGCCCCTCATTTCGGCACACCCTGCACGCGTTTCGTCGCCCCATGAGGAGCTCCATCGAAGACCACAGACAGTGGCAGGGTTCGCATGCGGTTCCACCCCAATTTCGGCACACCCCTCACACGCTTCGTGCACCCCACAGGGAGCTCCAAAAGCCCCAGTGGCAGTATCATCCCAAGTTCGGCACACCCTTCACACGCTTCGTGCCCCCCACAAGGAGCTCCAGCGGAGGCCCCAGTGGCAGGGTTCGCATGCGGTTCCACCCCCATTTCGGCACGCCCTTCGCGCGTTTCGTCGCCCCATAGTGAGCTCCATCGAAGGCACCAGTGGCAGGGTTCGTATGCGGTTCCACCCTGGCACACCCCTCACACGCTTCGTGCCCCCCATAGGGAGGTCCACCAAAAGCCCCAGTGGCAGGGTTCGCATGCGGTTCCGCCCCTCATTTCGGCACACCCTTCACGCGTTTCGTGGCCCCATAGGTAGCTCCGCCGAAGGCCCCAGTGACAAGGTTCGCATGTGGTTCCATCCCCATGCGGGCGCGCCCCTCGCACGTTTCGAGGCCCCGGAACTCCACCGAAGGCCCCAGAGGCAAGGTTCGCATGCGGTTCCACCCGCAATTTCGGCACACCCCTCACTCGTTTCGTGGCGCCATAAGGAGCTCGACCGAAGGCCTCAGCGACAGGGTTCGCATGCGGTTCCGCCTCCCATTTCGGCGCGCCCCTTACGCATTTCGTGGCCCCATACGGATCTCCGCCGAAGGCCCCAGTGGCAGGGTTCGCATGTGGTTCCATCCTCATTTCGGCACATCTCTCACGCGCTTCGTGGCCCGATAGGGAGCTCCACCGAAGACGATACTCACAACTGCGGCACGCACAACTGCATATGGTTGGGTCCTTCGCCAGGCTATTTGTTCCACCCCGCGCGCCTCAAGTTTCTCTACCTAGTTCCTCTCCTCCTCTCCCCCCTCAGCTCTTTCAGAATAGCATCCGCCGTTCTCTTTTTCGCTAAGGTTGTCATCGACGATGGATGACACCTTCCAAGGCAACCGCTGGCAAAACTCGTCGTGCAACGCCGACGTCCGCCGCGTCCGCGAGAAATGGGCCACGATCTACCCGTGTGAATGGAACCTTCCGAACGGCATGACCTATCCGTTCATGTGGTAGCTGGTCGGGGTCATCATGCGCGGGGGCCATGCCCGCGGAATGGGGATTGGAATGGGTGCGAACCCTTGGGCCCCCGTCCATTGCGGAAGTGGAGGGGGTGCTTGGGGGGCGCTCGCGTTGCCTCGCGGCCGTCACTCCCTCATTGACTTACCTCCTTACTCCTCTCGACTTAGGCTGCGCGACAGCCTCATGTCATGAGGCAGGCGCAGCTTCAAAGCCAGGCTCGCAATGCTTTGGCTAGGGTCCTTCCCCCACTTTACCCCTCACCCTTTTCATTCATTTCGAGCTTCCCTCTGTCTTCCTCTCCTCGTGAGGACAACTCATTTCGGGGGGGGGCGAAAAGGGGGGGGGTAGTAAAGGGCAGGGTTGGGGATTTGCTAACATGAGGTGGGTGCTAAAAACATCCCAGCTAATGGTAGCGCTGGTGTGGCGACTCCTTTAATCAGATCGCGCGACCTCGGCCTGTGTTCGCGTGCCTGGAAATGCGCTGGGAACGCGCGTGCCTGCCATAATGTAGATGCATGTGGTGCCCTGCCCGCGCGTTCCACCATGGCCGTGCGTTTGCCCGCGCATCTATGAACGCAAAATCGATCCATGCGCGCTCAACGCGCTGAACGGGCAGCGTGCGAGAGGCACTCGCACGCGCGCGCACAAAGACACGCGCAATCATGCAGGCTGCGCGCGTGTGTGACATGACTCAGCAGGGGTGCGTTTCCCACAACGCAGGAAGAAACGTTCACCCATCCCCAACCCGCTCCTCCCACCTCCTCCTGCTCTTCCCCCTCCCCCAACCCGTGCACCCAACCAGCTATATGGAGCTGATCCGGCGGGGAACTTGCTGCATGCAGCTAGCTTCGCGCCAAACTAGCTCCAAGCAACTAGTTCGGCGCGAAACTAGCTGCGTGGAGTTGGTTTCGCGCCGAATTAGCTGCGCGCGCGTAGTTCGGTGCCAGACACAGCTGCATGCAGCCAATGTTCCTCGACGCGCACCTCGACGTAGCAACGCGGAGATTCTCATATATGAGAACTAAAGGAAAACGGCCCGGAATCAGCTGTTGTAGCTGGTTTTCCGCGCAAGTTTGCTGCGCCCATCTTTGCGCTGTCGTTGATCGCGGGCCACCCGCTGATCAAAGACAACGCCCATCTGGGTGCAGAAGCGTCGCGCCTGCTCGTGCCCCAGACGTCGCGCTGATGCCTTCGCCCGCGCTGCGCGCCCTGAGCTATTGACAACTCCCTCCCTTATGCCGATTCCCCCGGCGCTCCGACGCATCGCTCAGGAGGGCCGTTAAACCTACGGGGAGCTGCGAAACGCGCGGAGAGCTCATCTTCGTGATATCACGTTCGCACACAACGCCCGCGCCACGCCTCCAAGCACGCGCATTCGGATCGACAGCGCCGTGATCGAGTTCCAGACCGCCTCGCCCAACTCCCCTGCGCCGGACGGCCAAAAGCCCCTGCTGGAACAGTGCCGCCCCGGACCGCGCGTTTCGAGGCTCGCTCGGTTCTGCGCCCGCTCTGGCACCGCAGAGTTGGCGCGACAAGCATGCTCGGGCGGAAGCGCGAAGGAAAGCGGCTGGAGAGGAGAGGGATGGGGAGACACAGGATGAATCGGCGCTCGGGGGGGAGAAAGCGTAGCCACGCTGTTCGGCGTGTCAGACCAGCAGCAGGTATCAAATTCCGACCCCCCCCCTTTGCCTATCCCCCCCTTTCGTCCGGCCCGCTCATTCGTTGCCTCGCCAAGTCTCAGCGCCTTCCCTGCAGCGCACCTCTGCAAGCCTAGACGCGAAGCATGTTATGAACAACCATACGCTGCGCCGACTTTTCTGTGCTGGCCGGGTCTTAACCATGCTCTTGAAGCTGGCGGCGCTCATACGTGTAGACTCGTGGGGCAGAGGTCCAATGGCCGGAGGCCGCTCGAGGCAATCATCGCATCCTATATTCGAGGGCGCCAGCAGCCAGTAACGCATAGCAGCCGGCTGTGGTTACCCATGGTGAAGCGCCGCTGCTGTAACAACGACCGCCTAGCGGTACCGAGTCTTCTCATGAGATGTATCCATCCTCCCTTCCGCCTTGCCATGCGTACGGCAGGGGCGGTCTTTCTGCATGTTCCCTGTCCACCCACGGCCTCTATGAAGCCAGAACCTTCGCAGGCTCCTTCGGTCGTGGAAGCGTCGTTGAAAGTATTCCCAGACGCTGGTCGTAGCAATTTGTGCAGGGTGTGGGAGGCGTTGTGCCTACGGGAGGTGCCCGCACCCACTTCTCCCCTCTCTCCTCCTGCCTGTCCTCCACGCCTCAGTGGCCCAACGCCCCTCGCCTTCGTTCAAGCTAAGAAATGGGGCCCGAGGGCTCTGCATAGCCATCTGGACTCTCTGGCCCAGCTCCTCCCTGCCGGTCGCCTGGCCAATACGAGTTGGCATCCCACCAAGCCGCGCTTGGTTACCACTGCCCTTAAGTTGGCCGTGTCCAACATGGTCAAAAAGTACGCAAAAAATCCGCCGACCCTGTCGGCGTGTGTGAGGGGCTTCACCGTTCGACTCGTCGTCTTCGTCGTCTCCGTTCTCCCCCTCCCAGGGCTCTCCTCCTCAAGCGCGCTATCCAAAGCGAAATTAAACGACGTCGTAGTGGAGTCGAAGGGAAGCCCCTTCACTTTGATCCCTTCCCCGCAGGGGGAGGGGGGGGGAAGGGGGGGGGGGGGGGCGGGGCAGATACGACGCCCGCCGGGGCGCACTTTCCTCGAGCGGGCACGCACGGGATGCACTTCCTCCTCCTCCTGGTCTTCCTCCTCCTCCTCCTTTTCCTCCTCCTCCTCCTCCTCCTCCTGCTCCTCTCCTCCTTCTCCTTCCTCCTCCTCCTCCTCCTCCTCCTCCTCCTCCTCCTCGCAGAAGGCGTCCCAGGAGCGGGCCCCGAGTCAAAATACCACCCCCCTAGGGCGCATTTTCCTCGAGCGGGCACGCCCGAGATGCACTTCTTCCTCTTCCGGGAGCACGTCCCAAGTCAGAATATCACACTCCCGGGGCGCACTTTCTTCGAGCGGGCACACAAAGGATGCACTTCCTCCTCCTCCTCCTCCTCTTTTTTTTTTTTTTTTGTTTTTCCCCCCCCCTGTAGAGGGACGGGCCCGACTTAACACTACCCCCTGGAATAGCGGCTGGCCGCGTCGGGAGCGGAAGGCTCTCGCAGGTTTCGGCACGTGGGGCACTCGGTGCGCCCGTGCGCCCCCGGCGCCGTGGCTCGTCAAGCTGTGGCATGCGACGGCCTCGGATCAACAGACCGCCCTCCCACTCCTCCTCCCCTCTTCCTCCAATCTTCTCCAGGCATTCTCCTCCAGCCCTCCCCCTCCCCTCTTCCTCCTCCTCCTCCTCCTCCTCCTGCTCCTCCTCCCTCCTCCCTTCTCCTCCCTGCTCCTCCTGGTCCTTTTCCCCTCCCTCCCTCCCTCCCTCCAATCTTCTCCAGTCAGGCCCGCATGGCCGCTGGTCATGCTGGCCTGGCCTGGGGGAGGGGGTGGGCTGGATGGGGCAGAACAGACACCCGAAGGCTTGAATACATCGAAACACCGCTTTTGTGCTCCCTCCTTGTCCTCTTGATTGTTATCCTCCCCTCAGCTTCTTCTCCTTCTCGATCTGGCCGCGCGGGCGGCCGCTGGGCGCGCCAGCCTGGCCGACGACGCTGGGGACGAGGCCTCGGTCGTTGGCGAGGGAAGGTGGTATTGATGATTTTTCCTGCTGGCGCCCTGCTGGCGAAGCGTCGCTACACACGGCCACGAACGGATGACGGGCACGCGGGGAAAACACAATTCGCCTGGCGCAGGCTCAACCCTACGCATGCAGCTGCGTGTAGCGCTTGGGGTGACCCTCTCCTCATACGTACACGGGCGCGCCCGCCTGGGCTGCGGGTGGAGCGTGATCGGCGGGAAGGGTGCGCTGAACGGAGCGCGCCGCCACCGCACGAGCAGCTGCTGAGGCCATACGTCGGGCTCCTTGTGGGGCGCGATCCTCGCGAGGGGTGGGCCATGCGAACTGCCCCGCTGGGGCCGTAAGTGGGGCTCCCAATGGAACATGGTTCTCGGGGGCGGCCAAGAGGGGGGCGTCCAAGAGGGGGGGGGCGCAAATCATGGCCGGCGGCATGTGCGCGGCCCAGGGGGGGGGGTCAGGGACGTAAGGAAATAAGAAAAGGCACTATGAAATCAGAAGAAATATCATGGCCCACGCCATGATCTCCCCCTCCTTGTCACCACCCCCCTCTTGGCCGCTCCCGATAGGTGGGGCTCCCAATGGAACATGATACGCGTCATGGGCGACACGAAATTGCCGGGCTGCCCACCGTGGCCGCACACGGAGCTTCCTCTGGGCGCAAGATCCGCACGACGGGTGTGCCGAACTGGTGGCGGCACTGCCGTGCGAACTGGCCCACCGTGGCCGTGAAGGAAACTCCCTACTGCGAGTTTCTTTATAAGCGTCGGGGGGGCGTCACCCCCGCCGACAGTCCACATCGACCCCCATCGCGGGCAGCCACCGCGCGCCGAAGGCGCTCCGACCCCCGTCGCGGCACGACGACGAGGCGAGATTGACCCTGTCGGGGGGGTACCACCCCACGCTTATTAAGAAACCCCGAGTATGGGGCACGATCCGTGTGAGGGGCGTGCTGATGGACGGAGAGCAGAGTCAGTGAGAGGAGAAGTTCGGGGGAGGAGAGTGGGTGAGGAGACGTGCGGCGCTGAGGAGAGGCCGCGAGAACCTAACAACATAATGGCATCGGGACAACTACGTGCAGCGCATCCTCCTGCGAGGACGTGCCGATGGAACGGTCGACCAAGGGTCCAGCATGCGCACGCGATGCCAGAGGATGAAGGGAGGCGGAGCAGGAAACGGCGGGCGCGGGACGGCGAGGGTTGGCAGGAGCTGTAAAATAGAGCGGGAGGAAAAGGAGAAGAGCACGGACTGAGGAGAACATTGAGCGATGAAGGGGAATGTGGATGAGGAGGAAAGGGATGGGACATAATGATGATTAGGAGCAAGACGATGCGGCAGAAAAAACGGGGAGAAAATATCGGGTGATGAGGAGGGGGAAGGGACGATCTTGGTCGCCTCAGCACCGCATATACTGCCACGTACTGCCAAGATAAAGTGGTTATCACAAACACCATCACGACACCAACAAACGAGCGTGCAACACAACGGTCGAACCGCGATACGCGGAATCTGGAAATCATATCCGCCATGCGCCACGGCTGAAATTTCGTCTCATCGAATTGGGTGCCGTAATGTCAGCCCGGACACATCCTGCGCTTGAGCTGATCAAGCCTGGTCCTGCGATGATGATGATGAATGTGGGCGGAGGGGCACATTCTTTGCAGCAGACGCAGCACGGCTTGCTCTGACGATTTAAAGGGACTTTAAATCACACTATTGCGCAATCCGCGGACCTTGTCCGTTTCAAGACACACCGTGTAGAGAGGGGGGGAAAAAGGGCGGGACACACAAGAGAGACCTGGAGCCACAATGATTACGGAAGGCCACGCTTCCCAACCCCCCTCCTGGCACTCACTACCCTGTACACAAATCCATGAGTGTGGGCGGAAGGGCACATTCTTTGCAGCAGACGCAGCACGGCTTGCTCTGACGATTTAAAGGGCTTTAAATCACACTATTGCGCAATCCGCGGACCTTGTCCGTTTCAAGACACACCCTTACCCATATCATGTTCTGGGCGGGTGGGTGGGGCACCAGCGACTCAGGAGCTGGCTTATGTGGAGACAGAGCTGGGGAGGGTAGGCTGACGCGACCTTGGACCACAACTGTTTGTTGTCCGGAATGCGCCCTGCGATCTCAGTGTGAGGCTGGCCAGAGAACGAACAGTGCCCTCCCCTCCCAGCGCAGCGGGCCCCCGCGAGCTCCTCCAGAGGCAGGTGGGAGAACAACAGGGTCGTGCGCTTTCTGTAAGGCGTGCCGAAGGCACAGTAGTCTATTTGGACTGAGTTATACTTATCTAGCAGACGTTTAAACCCAGGGAGCTCCCACAATATGCTTGAAGCGGGGTTCTCGATCACGCAAGGCACGCCAAGACACGAGAGGGTGTCGAAGAGTTTGGCGGCCCACCTGGCTTGCTTGTTGCCCTCCCGGACCTTCCGAAGATCACTGGGGGGAAGGTCGGGGAGGCCGAACAGGTGCTCACGGTCACGAATTGGTGCTGGCCAACCTTTTTTGCCCGACGGGTTCCGCCTTGCACGGGGCCAGGACGTGCACACAAGGCCAATCCAACACATAGCAAGAACATTATTAGAGGCAGCTTCGAGCAGTCGCCTCGAGACATCTCTATGTAAGCAGTCCTCTAGCGGAGAGTCGGCCAACTCCCAGCTACGCGTAAAAAAGGCAACGCTCTTGCAGGCAGCGCTGATGCCGCGACTGCCCGCCATCAGCTCTGCCACGACCCAACCTGGCCGAGGGGCAGCAGGGGCGAGGGCGAGCCCGCCTCGCGGGCCCCAGTCTCCCCAGGCCGAAAAGGGGCGGGCACCGCTCACTTGGGGATGGTCTCTGCGGCGACGGTCCGCTGGAACAGCGACCCCATCAGCTCGAACATCTGTCGGCCGAAGTCCCTGGAGGCCGGGGTAATGGCGTTGAGGAGTTGGTGTGCTGCTCCGGGCTTCCCGTGCCTGTTCAGGGACGAGTCCGTCCTCCAATGCCCTCGAGCCTCCGCAGTCTTCCGATCCCGCCTGCCCGACAGGATGTCGCCCGACGCTCCCCAGTGTCGCAGCTGGTAGAGACAGGCCCGGGGGAGGCCGCGCTTCTTGGCCGCGACTCCGAACTGGGCCGCCACGAACGCGCCCGGGGTGGGCGAGATCAGATCGGTCGGCGCCTTCCCGCGAACATGGGCCGCCAGGCGCTCGCCGAGCCAGGCTGGGTGGTCGAGGATCACGGTCTCGTCCGAGGTGCCCGTCTTGGTGAGCTCTCGATGGGGGCCCCTCCGGTCGCCTGGGGCGCCCGCGTCCATCTGGGTCGGGGCGAGGATCAGGCTCCAGCACTGCAGCTGCCCCGAGGCCCTCGAGGGGGCCAACAGTTGCCGTACTTGTAGCTTCTGAAGGGCTCCTGGGCGGATGTAGGTGAAGAAGGTCGACGCCACCTGGAGGGCGCAGTCCCTCTGCGCCCGCGCAAGCATCTCGGACGCGGCAGCTCCGAGGAGTTCCCGAGGGACGGGGGCCCGAGAGGCAGGGGGCCTGCGCTTGGTGTAGCCTCGTAGCCCCCTGTTCACGCGCGGCGTCGACTGAGAGCCTGTGCGCCACGGGCAGGCGTCCTTGACAGCCGCGACCAGAATGCTCGCGTCGGCTCGGGTGCACTCTGCCTGCAGCATGAGGTCGAGGAGCTGCAGCGCCCGCGCCTCCATGTCTTCGATGGTCGAAGGCACCCCCCCTCCTCGGCGAGGAACACCTGAAAAACATCGGAGTACGCCCTGTAGCCGACGCGCGTCGCGTCGGCCGCCGCGGCCAGCTCGCGCCTGGAGAGCGCCGTGGCCCAGGCGGGGCTGCTCTGGTTGGGCTCCAGGGCCTTGGCCAGCCGGGCGTGCAGCTGGGGCGGCGGCGCCGGGGCGTGCGCCGCTGGCTGCGCCCGCGCCGCGCGGGGGGCGGCGCTGGCGGCGGGCTTGCGGCGTGCCGCTGGCCTCTTGGCCGGGGCCGCCCTGCCCGCCAGGCCGCTCGGCCTGCGCGCCCGCCCCTCGGCCGCTGCGGCGGTCGCTAGGCGGCGCCTCTTGGGCCTTGGCACCGAGGTCGGCTCGGGCAGGCGGTCCGAGCTGCTCTGCGGCTCCTCCACGAAGGTGCCGCGCCCAGCCGCGCTCAGCGGGCCCAGCATGCACCAACGAGAGGCCCTCAAACGTCCACGAGGCCTCGTCGGCTGGCTGCCATTCCGACGGGATCCACCGGAAGTGCGGGCCGATGTTGGTGGCCAGGGTTAGAGCTGCAAGGCGACGGTTCAACTGTAACATACAATATTGCTGGCGATCGGCCCCTATCGAAACAGCAGCAGACGCCGAAATTGTCGAGCAGGAATAAATGGCGATGATGATGTTGGGAGGGGTCCTTGGCGAGACGACGTAGAGCCCGTAGCATGGCCCTCCCCTCCTTCAGCCCGATGTGTTCGATGTAGCGATATGGCCCCTTGTAGACAACCCTCCACCCCTCTCTATGTAGTACATGACGAGGGACCTCCGGGAACCCCGCGACTTTTGCCCACCCGTCGATGACATTGTTGGTGAGGACGGTAGCAGGATCGATGATCTCAGGGAAATCGTCGAGGGCTCTCCTTCGGGGGGCCCACTCTTTGGGTAGGAGACGTTTGAACCTCCACTTCTCATGCCACCTTCCAAGCACCGAAACTTCCGAGGAATCCAATTTCTTTTCGCACACTCCGAAGCCCGTCGTGGAGGCATCGGTGGCCGTCACGGTCGACGACCATGGCCTCTCTAACTGGCTCCCCAGCAGCGCCGCGACGGCAGAGAAAATCCACGCCTCGTAACGGCAAGAGCGCCAGAGTCGACAAGGCCGCAAATAACGATCACGGATAAAATCATACAGAGCACGAGGGACAGACATCCCTGCTCGATTGAAAAGAACTGCGGCGACGCAGTGACCGACCACCACTTCAACTTGCCGGCCAGTCACGATGGGGCCGCTCGCTAGCCACTGCAGCGCAC